AGTTCTGTACTGTACTGCACAGTTCTGTACTGTACTGCACAGTTCTGTACTGTGCTGCACAGTTCTGGACTAAACTCCACAGTTCTGGACTGTACTGCAGAGTTCTGCACTGTACTGCAGAGTTCTGCACTGTACTGCACTGTTCTGCACTGAGTTGCACTGTTCTAAACTGCACTTTACTGTACTGTATTGTCTGTACTGTACCGTACTGATTTGCAATAGTTTGCATTGTCTTACATTGTACTCCAATGATCTGGTATTTACTGCAATGTTCTTTGCTAAACTGTGTTACACTGCGTTGCACTAAGGTCTGTACACTGTACAGTGTACAGCTTTCCTTCTTTGAAGTAATCTTTATTTATCTACTTTTTTTATTTATTTTTAGCGAGGTTCAGAAAAACAAGGATTTCTGGGAGATCAGAGCTAAGCAGTTGGTAGCACAGATGGAAAAGAGAGATTAGGATGTACATTCAGAAACAACAACAACAACAACAACAACAACAACAACAACTAAATTTTTAACTTACACATCAGCGGTATTTTTTAGACATGATAAGTCTAAAGCCTAAAAAGTGATATGCTTATCTCATGTTTGAATTAACACTAAAAGGCTGTAAAGGCCTTACAGTAAAGCTATAGGGTTGCAATGCATGTTAACAGTACAATTTTTCTAGGTTAGCATATATATATTATATATATTGCTAACTTTATTAGGTTTAAAAGGTTAGAAAAAACAAGGTCGGCAAATGTAAAAAAAAATAATATTTTCCTTTAAAAATATTGAGATGAAACTTCAAGAACTTTTTATAGATGTAGTTTTAAGATCTGCAGCTCAAATAACCAAATAAAATGGACTTTTTTAACACTGTCCATCCATTTTACCGTACTGTACCCTACCTTATGCATTAAAAATACTAGAGGAGGGGGCGACAAAAAAAAGGGCAATAAAGTTATTGTGAGTATAAACTATAACTACATTAACATGTTGATGTCATTCTTAAATTTGGTTCTTATCTAGTATATATTTGAATTTAACTAGTGAATTTTGTTAATTGACAGTTTGAGTTTTTTTATCGTCCTAGTTTTCGAAAATGAATGTTTTTTCTTTTATTTTTATGCTATTTTGACTCTTGATAAAACAATCTGTTTACAATCTATTAGTTTGATAAATATGAGATTATTATGATCTTCTGTATTGCAATGATAAGCTGTAACATTTGATAATCGTTGTTAATTGCAATAACATCCATATAACTAGAGTCACAGCTGGCTTTTCTTGTTGGGATGTGATCTATTCAAAAGTGAGAAGAGGTTCGTTTATCCTTAAAATGTGATATTAAAAAAGGCATTAAAAGAAATTAAACATTTTCTAGAGACTTATTTGACAGGATTTAAAATTTCTCTTCAAATACAATCATATCAATCTGTTGTTCATTTTTATAAAAAAGTTTTAATATCAAAAATAATGATTTTTCGCTAGTCAGTTTAATATTGAAATTATTTGTTTTTATTTGAATATAAATATAATACAGTTAAGATTGTACTTCAACTTAATGCCATAATAGGTATTCAATTGTAATTGTTATATTTCGTTAGTATGTATAGAAAACAAACATGGTGTTATACTTTAAACCACTTTGTGATGATTTATTGATTAATTGTGGTTTCAAATGTCTCGGACAGAAAAATGATTTACAATGCATATGATTTATACTTTTCCAAGATTTAAAATTTTTTAATATGTAATATTTTTAAAGAATTTCTATTTTTGATACCTAATTTCTAGTCAACATTGACAGAAATTTTGTTATTGATTTATTTAACAAACTATTTTTTTGGAAGATTTCAAAGTAATGAAAGCAAGTAATAAAAAGATATCTCAATCTTTACGAATACAATGAGTCTCTGCCACAAACTCTGATTTTATAATATTCGCCGACCTTAGATGTGAATTATAAATCCTGTTAGATCAAATAATTTAATTTTGAAATATCAAAGGTTTGCTCCATTAGGTTGCAAAGATATAGGATTTGGAAAATTTGAAATTGTTACAAAGGCTCAATTACTCTGTGACACTATTTTTTATGTTATTCATAAAAAAAAACATCAGAAATCAAAGTTTTAATAAATAGAAAAAATTTCTTAAGTTTTTATTTGTTTTTAAAGCATAACTTTGCACATTTATTTCAAGGGATAAAATATTAAACATTTTGTTTTCTTCTTTTTTTCAACAATTATTGTAATGTGGTTACTAAACTGTAATTTTTGTGATTTAATATTTGTTTATTTTGCTAATTTTTTGTGTATTTTTTCATTCGTTTTTTAAAAACAGACCAAATAAAGACATGAAAAATATATTGAAACTTTAATTTTTAGTTAAGCATCAAGTTTACATGATGACTTCCTTCTCGTGGGAAAATGTTGAGTTTTTCTTTTCCATGTGTTTCTGAGTTTAAAAACTGGTTTAAAAAAGCTGTTTTTATAATACCTTTTCTTATTCTAGTTCCAGTAAAAAATATGAATTGATAGTCTTGATTCATTAGACAAATTCTGTACTCTTTATCGAGCGAGAAAGAACTATTTCGAACTAAAATGTACTTTGTCGAGTACGCATATACTTTAATCAGCTAGAATGTACTATTTCGAGCTAGAATGTACTTTGTCGAGTTAGCATATACTTTAATCAGCGAGAAAGAGCTATTTCGAACTAAAATGTACTTTTTCGAGTCAGCATATACTTTAATCAGCGAGAAAGAACTATTTCGATCTAAAATGTACTTTTTCTAGTAAGCATATACTTTAATCAGCGTGAAAGAACTATTTCGATCTAGATATGTACTTTGTCGAGTTAGCATATACTTTAATCAGCGAGAAAGAACTATTTCGATCTAAAATGTACTTTTTCGAGTCAGCATATACTTTAATCAGCGAGAAAGAACTATTTCGATCTAAAATGTACTTTTTCGAGTCAGCATATACTTTAATCAGCGAGAAAGAACTATTTTGATCTAAAATGTACTTTTTCGAGTCAGCATATACTTTAATCAGCGAGAAAGAACTATTTCGATCTAAAACGTACTTTTTCGAGTCAGCATATACTTTAATCAGCTAGAATGAACGTTTTCGATCTAAAATGTACTTTTTCGAGTAAGCATATACTTTAATCAGCTAGAATGAACTTTTTCGATCTAGAATGTACTTTTTCGAGTGAGCATATACTTTAATCAGCTAGAACGTACTATTTCGAGCTAGAATGTACTTTGTTGTTGTAGAATGTATTATTTAGAGCTAGAATGTACTACATTGAGCTAGAATAAATTATGTAGAGCTAGAATGTATTATGTTGAGCTAGAATGTATTATGTAGAGCTATAATGTATTATATCGAGGTAGAATGTATTCTGTTGAGCTAGAATGTAATTTGTAAAGCTAGAATGTATTATGTTGAGCTAGAATATATTATATAGTGATATAATGTAAATATGTCGAGCTAGAATGTATTATGTAGAGCTAGAATGTATTATGTTGAGCTAGAATGTCCTATATTGAGCTAACATGTACTATATTGAGCTAGAATGTATTATGCTGAGCTAGATTGTACTATATTGAGCTAGAATGTCCTATATTGAGCTAAAAATGTACTATATTGAGCTAGAATGTATTATATTGAGCTAAAAAGTAATATGTCAAAATTTCCAACCTTTCTGGAAATTAACTAATAAAAAGTACTCCAAAAATAGTGCTCGAAACTTAAGACAAGATTTTATTTTCTTGATGTATTATCTTATTTAAACAATAATGACCTCACCTTTCATTAAACATCTATTCGACCTTCTCAACATGTTGTAGATAACACAAATTTTAATCTACGTCGCAATTTGAAATGTTAAATACAAATCAAAATGTTTTTTTATCTATAACGCGCAAAACAAGTAAAAAACTCCATTATTTCAAAATAAGCTTCCAGAAGCTTCTCCGTACTTTTTCAAATAATGGTATTAGCTTTTAAATGATGCTCCACCTTGCACCATTTTTTGACGTACATCCAAAGATACTAAAAATAATTTTGTTAAAATTGGTGATATTTTAAAATTTAGATCACCGACAATACTACGCCTGAAGTTATGTGAGGTTAACAAAAACTTGACCCAAGGGAAGGTTAATGGAAGTTCAAAATTGACAAAATTCGCCAAGAAAATGTCACCTGTTTCAATTTGTGAAAATTCACCAAATAAGAAATGAAAATCCGCGAAATTCTTTTCGTCTAACACAATAAAAAATGGCAACAGTTAAAAGCTAAAATTGTTCGTAAAATCTAAAATAAAGTAACATTTATGACTTCTTAATTTTTCATAAAATATTACTATGGCTTCTACTGCGAACTAGACTGAAGGAGAAAGAAAATTTTATGTAACAGTACAGTGGTACGATTTTGTGACCTTGATTTTACAAACATGTACGAGAAAAGAAATCTCTTCTGTTTACATTTTTGTTCTTCTGAACAGCTCTTGAAGGAGAGAAGTTATGATTGAAAGCATATAATATTTCCATCCTCTACCTGCAATTTATTTTCACTTTAACATTACACATTAAAAATCAAGGTTGTTTCGTCACAAATCGGCGACGACGATTTTCAAGAAACCTTAGAGATATACATCCAATCATTCAATAAAACTACCTCGAACTCATCTTTGTAGAGAAGAACAGAACAGAAACTGAACTTTGGGAGACAGTATTCTATGCAGCGTTTATTCCAAATATATCAAAAACTCTTACGTTATCATAAAATCATAAAATATACGAGAAATAATGCGAATATATTAATGCTAAAATAAATCACAATTTAATATAGGCTGGGTTGATGGTGTATCTATCAATCGCTTAGGTGCCCCTGAGGCCCGTCCATAATATATCAGGATGATGACGTAAAGTGGGAGAGTATAGAAAATATAAACCCTTTAAGATCTCGTACTGTAAAAGCCAATATTATACCCTTAGATTCATACTTCAAGTATCTCAACAATATTTGATGAAAACCTCGGTCTTTTACATCAAACCATTCTTCATTTTGACATATTAACCATTTAGTCGTATCGGATAGTAAACTATAAGGAATGACATGAATTCAGACCCGACTCGAGGTTTTAACAAAATTAATTTCAACTGGATTGTCGGTACCAGGTACATAGTAATCAATCACAAACACTTTAAGGGTTGCTTTATATTATATCTCCGGAGCTAATATCAGGATTTGTGAACTCCTTAATGGTTAATCTCTAACATGGAGAGCTTTATTCATCATATCAGAGTAAGGACGGGTTCAAGGGTCTCCGTTACTCTTTTATTTCTCCTGAACCTTTAAGAATTTAAACCTTCAGCCTGTGATCATTTATATTCAGGAGATGAATTCCACTCTGAATCCAGAACCTTAAACCCACGAAACAAAGGTTTCTATCAGTAAAACAAAAAAAATGGAAATAACTCCCGTATTTCGATTAATTTAGTTAATTTTTTAATACCGGGATTTTTAATGAAAGAAGTTTTTTTTTAATAATTAAAAAGATTTTCTAAAAGCATTGTTCTATATTGTTAAAGAATCAGTAATTAATGAAAAATGCACTGTATGTAATACTATTATCTTTAATATTTTGCTCAGCTAGGAATTAAAAATTTCTAAATATCAAAATTTCTTTATCATTCATTCTTTCATTCATTATTTTCTCTTTTAATCCCTTCTTTTGTTCTTATTTCCATTAATTCTTTCACCGTCCATTTATGCTTCCATTCAATAGCTTTTTAATCAATAAGCAGAACTGACAATATTCAATCGTTAACACTATATAAAGGATTTGGGGTCTGTGACCTTAGAAAAGGTAAAGAGGTTTCAATGCATGTGTATAGTTCAATTTTTCAATTTTATTGAAAAAATTAATTAGGCGTCCCATATCTTTATTTGTCTTATTTCAAGGTCTTTATAAAAATATAGTTTTTAGTTCCGTTGCTAAAATAACAAAAAGTTATCAGCTTTTTTAGATTTTTTCTTACTCTGACTGACCTTTTTACTCGCCTTTTTACAGTGCTGTTATACCCTACCAAATGAATAATAAAAAATAATAGTTTAAAAATTCCTTTAAATTACTTTTGCTTAAAAGTAAAAAAAAATCAAGATGATAGTGTCAAAAATGAGATTGCTAGGGCAAAACAAAAAGAGGAAGCAGAATTAAATCGAATAGAATCACTATAAAGTATTTTTACAATGCATAAAAATATAAAAATATATGTAACATAATTGTAAAACGACAGCTAGAGTGCAGAGTGTAAAGTATAGAGTGTAATGTGCAGTAGAATGTGAACTTTTGATCGAGTAGAGTGTAGCGTGTGTAGCAACATGAGTGAAGAATGTAAATATCTGAGTGTAGATTGTAAAGTCTGGAGTGTAGAATGTAAATTTCGGAGTGTAGAGTGTACATTGTAATGTGTGGAACATAAATTTCGGAGTGTAGACTGTACATTTTAATGTGTGGAACATAAATGTCGGAGTGTAGAGTGTAAAGTGTAATGTGTGGAACATAAATTTCAGAGTGTAGAGTGTAAAGTGTGATGTGTGGAACATAAATTTCGGAGTGTAGAGTGTACATTGTAATGTGTGGAACATAAATTTCGGAGTGTAGAGTGTACATTGTAATGTGTGGAACATAAATTTCGGAGTGTAGACTGTAAAGTGTAATGTGTAGAATGTACATATCTGAGTGTAGAGTGTAGAGTGTAAAATATAGATTTTGTTCATTTAATTCTTCTTGATGTGATAAGGTTTATTTTCGAATTCCTCCAGAGAAAAATACTTGAAAAGTTTACTTTGGTTTGTTTGCACACACCTAGTTAATCTTCTGGTAGAGCTGGGAAATAGTTCTACAGCTTAACTGGAGTATTAAACCATTGTAAGGCATTGTAATTTCCGAGTACTGATAACAATGATTTTTTAATGATTAAATGATCTGTAAACAATCTTATCTGACTACAAACACGGACTTCTAAATTCTTAGCGTCTCTTAATCCTGCAGTAGTTCTAGTTCCTTTCCAGGTCTTGGGTCGTTCATTACATAATCTTCCAACAACATTCTCTCAACATGCGAGGACTTGGCAAAATTCATTTCTCTGTAAGTTTAATTTATTTAAATTCTGAGGTGTCAACTTTGTACGAGATAGAGCTAATCTGCAGATTGAATTTTAAACTGCTTGATCTAGAGATCAACTACGTAGTATTTCCGGGCATCGTTATTATCCCTATTTTTAGATATTTCAGGATTTCTGGCTTTACGAGATATTTCAAACTTAGAATATTTAATCCAACAAAATTCACAGTTTTAAAATATCTGAGGTCTACAACATTGGGTTGCAAAGATATAGGGATTAGAAAATCAGTGTTTGTGGCAAAGACTCACTTTCTTTTGCGTAATTGAACATTTTAATTTCAATTTGTTTTCTTTGATGAAATTATGCAAATTTTTGACAATTATACATTGACAGAAAATATAATTGCCTGAACAAAGCTAAATCAATTGTTAGCGAACGAATAATTGAAAAATTCGATTAAACTTCTATCTTCTTCTACTGCTAGAGAGTCAATTCTGAAAGTTTAAAAACCGTAGTACAACGATTCCCAACTCTACTGGTCTCTGAGATTTCATTATTTTGTGTTTTTTTCTTACTTTTTGCTTTTTCTGATTTCTGAGTAGAAAAAGAAAATTAAACAACTTTCGGGAAAATGTTTATTTGAAAATATTTGGAACGTTTTTTGTCGAAAATTTTCCTAAATATTAGTTTTCAAATAAATCTTTTAAACGTAATGCTAGTTCTTTTCACCTAAAAAATCTATAAATATGAATTAACTGAACTCGTAATATCTTTTAAACGAAACCTTTTTTAATTTCTTTATTATTATAAATTTTATTGATATATATTTATAAAATAAATTACTCAAAACAAATACAAAAAAAATTACTGAAATGTAAAAATATATCTAATTGAAACAAATAAGAAAATTTCAAAGTTTTAACTGACAAAATCTGAAATAATGAATTACACTTTTAAATCTTGGAGAGTACTTGTAATCTAAAGTTACGTCAAAAATCTTTAAATTTTTGTATTTGACCATGGTTTCTCTTAAAAATTAGATTTGACAAGATCCTATTAAAAGTATTCGCTTTCAATTAAGTAAACTCAATACTCATATGCACTAGTGTGCAGTACATATTTACAAGCCCTACATCTCTAACTGACGTACGTTATATTTAAAGTAAACAATTTTTATTTTTATTTATAACCTTTATAGATTAAAATATGCTAAAGAACTTAAGTCTAGTTAAACAGAATATGATAAGAATAAGATCTGATTTTTAACATAATTTTTAATCATTACTGCTTTCTTGTAAAATTACAGAATTAAACGTGTAGGGTGATACATTAAAGATGAGAATAAGGGGGGGAGGAATTAATCGGGTAGACTCTTTGTCAAGAATCTTGCTTTTGGCATATGTCAATCAACAGAAAACTGTTTTTCTTTGATAACAAAATTTGTTAATCTTAACATAAGATTTTAAATTGCTAAATTAAGTGGAAAGTTCAAAAAATAGGCTAAAGATGAGAAACGGGGGGGGGGGAGTCTATCGGATAGATTCTTTGTCAAGAGCTTTTTTTTAAAGTTCAAGGAAAATGTTTTAGCTTTTTATATTAGGCCCTCTACTCTTGCTTTTGTCATATGTCAATCAACAGAAAACTGTTTTTTCTTTGATAACAAAATTTGTTAATCTTAATATAAGATTAGAGTGGTGTTGGGAAATTGTTAAAGGGAGTGTTTGCGAAAATGAAAGGGGGTATACGCTTAATGCGATCGCGAACGCTCCCTATAAATTAAGTGGAAAGTTTAAAAAAATTACTTAATTTTTATTTTTTTTTTCAGGTGAAATACGAGAACAACAAGTTGGATGTTAGGATTCTAGAGTGTCAGGTATTATTCTTTACACACTTTCATAGACAAACAATATAGACAAGTAGTAAACTGATAGACACAGACAAACTGACATAAATACAGACAATAAATATAATGATAGACACAGACAAACTGACATAAATACAGACAATAGATATAATGATTGACACAGAAAAACTGACATAAATACAGACAATAGATATAATGATTGACACTGACATAAATAAGGACAATAAATAAAATGATTGACACAGACAAACTGACATAAATACAGACAATAAATATAATGATAGACACAGACAAACTGACATAAATACAGAAAATAGATATAATGATAGACACAGACAAACTGACATAAATACAGACAATAAATATAATGATAGACAGAGACATCATTACAGACAATAAATAAAATGATTGACACAGACAAACTGACATAAATACAGACAATAAATATAATGACAGACACAGACAAACTGGCATAAATACAGACAATAAATATAATGATAGACACAGACAAACTGACATAAATACAGACAATAGATATAATGATAGACACAGACAAACTGACATAAATACAGACAATAAATATAATGATAGACACAGACAAACTGACATAAATACAGACAATAGATATAATGATAGACACAGACAAACTGGCATAAATACAGACAATAAATATAATGATAAACACAGACAAACTGACATAAATACAGACAATAGATATAATGATAGACACAGACAAACTGACATAAATACAGACAATAGATATAATGATTGACACAGACAAACTGACATAAATAAAGACAATAAATATAATGATAGACACAGATAAACTGACATAAATACAGACAATAGATATAATGATAGACAGAGACAAGCTGGCATAAATACAAACAATAAATATAATGATAGACACAGACAAACTGACATAAATACAGACAATAAATATAATGATAGACACAGACAAACTGACATAAATAAAGACAATAGATATAATGATAGACACAGACAAACTGACATAAATACAGACAAGTAGTAAAATGATACCACAGACAAACTGGCATAAATACAGAGAATATGTGGAACAAGACGGAAAAAATAAATCCGACAAAGTAATAAACAAATACGCGGCAAACAGACATACACATCAACAGACATTTAAAGGGCAAGCTTCATTTTAATAAAAACAATGTCTATACATTATACATAGTGCACAATTTTTAGTTTTTCTTTTGACACTTTTTTATTAATATTTCATAGTCAGGAAATATATTATTTAACGGAGACTCAAAACTTTTGAAGGGTTCTCTTCAGTTCTATTTTAAGTTTTTGGCATTTTAAATCCAAAATTGAATTGAAAAATATGAATAATCCATTATATTTAACTTTCTACCCCAGGGGTTAAAAGATGCTGATTTTATTGGAAAATCAGACCCGTACGTCCAGCTGTATATTCTACCTGGAAACCATCCCCAGCTCAAAACGAAGACGATCAACAACAACCTCAACCCTGTCTTCAACCAGGCGTTCAGCTTCTCGGTAATAAAACATATAATTTTGCCTTGTCCGTCTGTTTGTCGGTTAGAATTCGAAAATGTTGCCCGCAAACATTTTTGATCCTTGAAACTTTTTGTAATCTATCGATGAAAGCAAAGAAAATTTGCAAAATTTCAACTGTTTTTTTTCTACTTAATTATAAATTGACAGCAAAAAAATGTTGAATTACTATTAGAAAAATTAGAGGCATATTATATATACTCCATCCTTCTTCAACTCCTATCAAACCACTATGTCACAAAATCTAGAAACTCTAAATGTAAACTACAAAGCTTTAAATCAATCAGAAACCTTCATTTTCTTTTTAATATATTTTTACATTATGATGTTAATATATTGTTTTTACTGTTTTTTTAACTTTACTTTTGTTTCAGCTGACAAAAACCCAGGTTTTGGCAAAGACCGTGGTTTTCCAAGTTTTTGATTCCGACCTCGGAAAGGATAAACCCCTAGGAGAGGTGATAATTATAACTTAATACTCGTCTCAAACTTTAATTTTCAAATCCCTATATCTATGCAACCAGAGATGAAATTTAAAGAATTTGAGCCGCGGTTTAAATCTGCCAAAGCCCGGTTTAAATTAAGCGCCGGTTTAAATCTTGAAACATTTGATACAATTTTAAGTGAAACCAACCATATTTAACCCGCGGCTTAAATTTAAACCGCCGCTCAAATTCTTTAAATTCGGCCACTGATGGTGTAAACCTTAGATATTTCAAACTTAAATTATTTGTTCCATCAGAATTTATTACAGTTGGAAATATCAAAGGTCTATGAGATCGAGTTTCAAAGATGTATTAGAAAATCAGAATTTGTGTAAAAGACTTAATTCTTTAAAAGAATAGAGTTTGAGTCAAGTATTTCTTTGCTGCTATTTTATTGTCCTTTAAAAATGATTTACACAATTATTATAGAAAAAAAAATAGAAAAGAGCAAGGGATTTAAAGGAATTGAGTCTTTGGAACAAAATCAAATATTTAAACCTCAATATCTTTAGAACTTGATGTTGTAAGTCTTTGATATTTCAAACTCAGATTATTTGATCTAACAGAATTCATAGTTTGAAATATCTAAGGTCTGCAACATTTGGTTCCAAAGATATAGTGATTAGAAAATCAGAGTATGTGGCAAAGACTCAATTCCTTTACGTAAATATCTAATAAGAATGAAGAAGCAGTTTTTAGTTGATGAGAAACATTTTTAAAACATTTTTTTGTTTGTTTTGAAACTTATTTGTAGTTTGTTTAGAAACATGTTTGTTGTGTTGTTTTAAAACATGTTTGTTGTTGTTTGTTTTTAAGCATGTTTGTTGTTTGTTTTTAAAACATGTTTGTTTAATGTTTAGGCCAGATTTGCGCTCCGAGATATGGAAGGGAAGCAGAATGCTGATATCAACTACTGGATCGAACTCACACCAATCACTAATATGCCGGTCAAATAATTATATCTTTATAGGGACTGTACACGTAATTTCAAGCGACACTCCATAATTTCGTTTTTAAATGGCATGTCCGATTTACAGTTTATCGATCTATTACAATTTCCTTCAGTGTTTCTGCAGCAAAAATTTGGAAGTCACTTTTAAAGTGAAACAGCCATTTAAAAAAATCAATATTCAGCTACAAAAATAAGGATATCTAATTGATCCTTGATTGGACAAATATTTAAAGGGTATCTTTGGGAATCTGACATACCACACTTTTAAATTTAGTGTCATTTAATTTACGATATACAGCCCCGTTCAGAAGTAAACTAAAAAAAACTGTATTTTTTCAGCCTGTTCTGAGGCATCGTGCCAGCGTAGTAAGCAATGTAGTGAGTAGGGAGTCAAGTGTTACTAAGAAAGTCTCAAATGTTTCGGTAATTTTTTTATTATTTTTAAAAAATGCAATTTTATAATTTTTTATCTAATTTGTTTTTTTTATATTTCAGTCCTTTCATCCTACAGTGCAGGTAAAAAATAAAGGAGTATTTTATGATTAGATTCTTAACATTTTTTATTGCAATTTTGTGTTAATTTGTGCAGACTGAGACACGTTCCTACTCTAGCACCAGCTCGGAGCATGGTCGAACCAGCCTAAGGTACAAAACGTTAAACAAAAAATGCAATTACATAATATGGAAGATGTTGCACTTTTTCTTGCTTGGAATTGAGTTGAAAGACGTCAACAATGTATTTGGTTGGATTGTTACGTCAATAGGTTTCAATTGGACAAACGATTTCACAATTAACGATTATACAATTAACGATTATACTATTAACGATTATACAATTAACGATTATACAATTAACGATTAAACTATTAATTAATCCCTTAATCTTTAATTAGTTGATGTATGGTTGGACTGAGTGTACATTGTGCATACTTAAAGACCCTTGACTTTGATTGAAAAAGTTTGAACGGGTTTATTAATACATTTAACTTGTCTAATTGATAAGAATTGCCATTTCCGAAGGAATCGAGTACAAAACTCAAATTTGTTAACCTATATTTATTTGCAACCTGGTTGTTTAAACCTTTGATATTTTAAACGTAGAATATTTGTTCAGACAGAATACATAGTTTGACAAATCAAAGGTCTACAATATTATAGGGTTGCAGAAATATTTAAAATTAGACTTTATGGGAAGAACTCAGCTCCTTGTTTCTTGCTTGGAGTTTAAAAACACATTCCCGAAATATGTTATGATTGGTTGACATTAAATTGTTGGTTTAAGATAATCTTTAAGTCGTCTTTTAATATGGTTAAACAGGGAGCTGAACAGTCGGTTGGAGAACGTAGTGGCGCAGAACAGGAAGTTTGAAGATGTAGACACCAAGCTTATCATCAACCTTCTCAGGTATACAGTACACAGTACACAGTGCATAGTACACAGTACATGGTTAGCTTGAAGATGTAGACACCAAGCTCAACATCAACCTACTCAGGTATACAGTACACAGTACACAGTACGCAGTACACAGTAAACAATGCACAGTACAGGGTTAGCTTGAAGATGTAGACACCAAGCTTATCATCAACCTACTCAGGTATACAGTACACAGTAAACAGAACGCAGTACACAGTACGCAGTACACAGTAAATAGTGCACAGTACAGGATTAGCTTGAAGATGTAGACACCAAGCTTATCATCAACCTACTCAGGTATACAGTACACAGTACATAGTACGCAGTACATAGTACACAGCACATGGTTAGTTTGAAATTGTAGACCCCAAGCTTAGCATCAACATTCTCAGGTATAAGAACAGTAAACTTATCATTCGTAATACCGAACTCACTTCGAAATTATGATATTCTTTTCAAAATTGCAATACATTCCTGATATACTGTTTCTTAATTTAGATATGATAAGTTATGGATTCTTCTAATTGTAATGTGGAAACCAATGACAATAAAGATTATATTATTTTTTATTATTTTAGCAAGAAAGTGCACGCGCAGATGAACAGTGATGTTGTTCTGACTAAAATGGAACATCATATTCAACCTCTTAGGGATACAGGACTATTATAGCAACATAGGATACAAGACTATTATAGTGTTCATTATATAGAGAACTATCATATCTTAGGAATACAGGACTATTATAGCAACATAGGATACAAGACTATTATAGTGTTCATTATATAGAGAACTATCATATCTTAGGGATACAGGACTAATCATAGCAGCATAGGATACAAGACTACTATAGCAACATAGGATACCAGGCTATTATAATGTTCATTGTATAGAGAACTATCATATCTTATGAATATTGGACTATTATATCAACATAGGATACAAGACTATTATAGTTTTAATTGTATAGAGGACTATCATATCTTAGAATGCATGCAGATACAAGACTAGTGTACAATAGCTTCAAAACGATCATGATGAACATTAGTCTAGAAATTGTGAATTAATTATAACTTTGTGAACAATAACATTAAAAATAAAATAGAAATTCTTTTAACAAAATCATTTCGATCAAAGGTCGATAAATTTCAAAAAATGGTATATAGGTGTGACCTGACCTGAGAGCGTGACAAATAGTTTAATAAAATTATAAAGATGAAATATTCCTGTTGATCTGAAGGGATGAATATAAGATCCTTGCTGAGCTGAATGCTGAAATTGAAATCCTGAAAAGGGAAAACGATGTTCTTAACACCAGGTATAAAGAATACAGTTATAGGCAAACCTTCTCTTTAAGCAAACTTTAAAATTAAAAGGTTTAATGCGGACTGTTTGCTGGTTTCTTTGTATTTTATAAGCGTCAAAACGGTTAAACCGATCGGGCCCAAATTTTTTGTGGTATCTTGCCCCTAGAAATGTTTATGGTCGGTCGAAAGTTTGACATGGCTTTGCAGCTATAGTAAAGGAGAAAACACTTTAATTTCAAAGACTGAACTTTAAATCTTCTACGCAAACGTAAAAATGCTTTCTATTTGCTGGGTTTTTTTTTGTATTCAATAAACGTCAAAAGTGCTAAACCGATCGGGCTCGAACTTTTTGTGGTATCTCACATGAGCGCGCTCCTTAGAAGGTTTATGGTCGGTCGAAATTTTGAATATGGTTTTGTGAATAAAAGAGAAAACTTATTATTTGTTGATAAGATATTTTTATATTTTCAGGACTCATGAGATCAAGGAGAGGCTGATGGTAAGAGCTAGAATAAATCTACATGAATCAGATAAAATTGCTCAAATTTGAAGAAGAAAACATTTTTTAGAAGAACAAATAGATAATAATTTATAAAACAAGGAATCGGATATAGGAAGGATTGATGATCAGTATGTTAAGGGAAGGGTGGAGAAGAAGGAAGGAAGGATTGATAATAAATATCTTAAGGGGGGGATTTTTAATGACCATGTTTAGGAAAGGACGAAAAAGAAGGATTGATTGATGTTCAGTATATTAAGGGAAGTACGGAGAAATAGGAAGGATTGAAGATAATTATGTTTAGGAAAGGATGGTGAAGTAGGACGGATTGAAGATTATTCTGTTTCGGAAAGGATGGTGAAATAGGAAGGATTGAAGATTATTATGTTTAGGAAAGGATGGTGAAATAGGAAGGATTGAAGATTATTATGTTTCGGAAAGGACAGTGAAGTAGGAAGGATTGATGATCACTATGTTCAGGGAAAGACGGAGAAATAGGAAGGATTGAAGATAATTATGTTTAGGATAGGACGATGAAGTAGGAAGGATTGAAGATATTTATGTTTCGAAAAGGATGGTGAAATAGGAAGGATTGAAGATAATTATGTTTAGGAAAGGATGGTGAAATAAGAAGGATTGAAGATAATTATGTTTAGGAAAGGACGATGAAACTAATTATGTTTCGAAAAGGACGGAGAAATAGGAAGGATCGAATATAATTATGTTTAGGAAAGGACGAAGAAGTAGGAAGGATTGAAGATTATTATGTTTAGGAAAGGATGGTGAAATAGGAAGGATTGAAGATTATTATGTTTCGGAAAGGACAGTGAAGTAGGAAGGATTGATGATCACTATGTTCAGGGAAAGACGGAGAAATAGGAAGGATTGAAAATTATTATGTTTAGGAAAGGATGGTGAAATAGGAAGGATTGAAGATTATTATGTTTCGGAAAGGACAGTGAAGTAGGAAGGATTGATGATCACTATGTTCAGGGAAAGACGGAGAAATAGGAAGGATTGAAGATAATTATGTTTAGGAAAGGACGGTGAAGTAGGAAGGATTGAAGATAATTATGTTTAGGAAAGGACGGAGAAGTAGGAAGGATTGATGATCACTATGTTCAGGGAAGGACGGAGAAGGAGAATGGATTAATGATTAGTTAGGGAAGGGAAGGGTGGAGTAGACGGAAAGAAGGATAGATAATCAATATAAGAAGGAAGGATTTATGATGACTATGTTTAGGGAATGACGGAGAAGAAGTATGGATTGTTGTTTAGTTTGTTTACGGAAGAATGGAGAAGGAGGAAGGATTGATATTCAGAAAGTTTAGGAAAGAGTGGAGAATTAGGAAGGATTGATATCAGTATATTAAGGGAAGGACGAATAAGGAGGAAAAATTGATAATCACTAAGTTCAGGGAAGGATGCATAAAGGAGGAAGGATTAATGATTACTACGTTCAGAGAAGGAGGGAATGATTAAAGATCAGAACTTTAAGGGAAGGACCAAGAAGTAGGAAGAATTCATGATCAGTATGTTCTGGTTAGGACGGAGAAAAAAAAAGGATTGATGATCAGTATGTTCAGGAAAGGACGGAGAAGGAGAAAGGACTGATGATCAGTATGTTCACGGTAGGACAGAGAAGGAGGAAAGATTGAAAATCACTATGATCAGGGAAGGATGTAGAAGGTGGTAGGATTGATGGTCACTATGTTCAGGGTAGGACGGAAAGAAAGGATTGATGAGTATATTATATTTTTAGGGAAGGACGGAGAAAGAGGAAGGATTGATGATTACTGTGAGAGATATGGAAGGAAAGCTGCATCAAATGCAACTGGAGAGAGATACAGTTGAAACCAGGAAGCAGGTATAATGCTAAGGAATTGATTCTTTCCCACGCATTAAAATTTTCCTATTGCTATGTCTTTGCAACTTGCTAATGGTGTAAACTTTTGATATTTCAAACTTAAATTATTTGATCCAACTGAATTCAAAGTTTGAAACATTTAAGATCTACGACATTTTGTTGCAATGACATAAGAATTAGACAATCAGAATTTGTGGCAAATACACCATTTCCTTTTGGAGCAAAAATCAACTTTTCCAATAGAAAAAATATCACAGAAGAATTTCTTTGAGCACGATAGAGCTATACAAATTTTCAAATATCATTACAATCGAGTTTCGGTCAACACATATTTTAGCAACCTGGGCACTCTAGGCTGTAGTAAATTTGAATTCGAACAGGACCTGCCCAGTTTGTACCGGCCTACCAGATAACAGAGTGTACTGACCAGATTCAATGGTAGCCATATTCTGTACAGAACGTCGTCCTAACCAGACTAACATACGTGCAGGGGTCAATTTTCTTGGCATAGTCCCGTCGGAGGGCTAACTATGACAACTCCCATGGCGCGTTCAGACTTTTTACAGTACCCGGTCTAATCCTAGGCCTATTTGACCGACCCCACTGGCTTAGTCCACCGTGTGGGATCAGCTTTAGGTAATAAAAAGACGAGGTTGAACAACTTCTTGAAGAAAACTGTGTTTAAACATACAGTTCGTTCAACATTTATTAAATCTGATCCCTGAACATAATTATTGTTTTTTAAAAGGGGATTGTAAGCGTAAATTTATGCGTAATTTCAATGCAAAGATTGCAATGCAAAGCTTTGTCTGATTCAAGAATAAATTAGATATCCACGTGTTTGTTTATTTAAACTGTTAAATTTAATTTGTGGTTTCTCTGCACAAGGGACTAGCGCATTTCTTGCTTATAAGAAAAAATGGAAAAATTCACATTTTTTGTGTCAGATTAAGGTTTCAATTGCTAGCTTAGCTTTGCATGAAGAGTCATTTAAAATTACGTTTACAGTCTCTTTAAAATATGAATTTTTAGACTTATGAATTGCACCTGGAGGAGGCCAGAGGTCAACTCAACGCAGTTCTTAATCAACTCAAGTAATATCTATTTTAAAGGGATTTTTCTCAAATTCTGAAAAAAGGTTAAGAATCAAGTATCAGGATTTGACAAATTTTTGTGCTTCTAGCTGCTATAATATATACAGAGAATTTGAGACTCACAATCAGGAACAAATTTATCAAAGGAATTGAGCCTTTTCACAAAATTAAATTGTCTAATCCCCATATCTTTGCAACCTGATAGTGTGAAAACTTGAATTTTTCTATCTGACAGAATTCATAGTTTGAAATATCTAAGGTCTACGAAATTGGGCTCCAAAGATATAGGGATTAGAAAATTAGAGTTTGTGGCAAGGACTAAATTTCTTTGCCTGGGCTGACCAGCTGGCGTGACAGTACCTGGCAATAACCGGTTTGTTTTATGCAAATTCAAGATTGCATTCAGATATATTTTCTCCAATACTCTTTACAGATACATCAGATCAAAATAAGAATATAACTCGTCAAATCCTAATCTAATTATTGAAATCGTCTTTGTTTAGTTTTCTTATACCATTTATCTAAGTTTGATTATTTGCTCATTAAAACCATTTATCTTTGAGGGAAACGTGTGTGAAAGTCGTCTTATCTGTATTCTGCATATTGCATATCATTAAATTTCATGACTTGTTCGTGTTTATTTCTAATTTGATAAAACTTTGACTAAAATCTAAAATGTCTAACTTTTAAAGGGCGCTGCGCCTAGACCAGGGAAGGTGGGAGGGAGAACTAACTCTTGTTAATGAGAAGTTTAACCTCTGCGGACTGTAAGTATAAAATATCAAAATATTATCTATAAATGATTTATTATTAATAAATGATAATTGTTTTTACCCCTCATGGCTAAATATGCCATAAATTCTATGATTTTTAGATAAAGATAATGTAAAGAACAGCCTCCCTTGAGTTACGTTGACAGTCTCTTTAATTTTGTTTATTTTATCAGTGAGAGGCAGCGTATGATGTCGTCTTACTCTGCTGAGTTTGAGAGTGAGATTGAGTGCCCTACCATCTACTGGGATATCGTTAATGACTACACTAAAAAGTAATCACAATAATAAAGATCATTTTTTATTAAATAAAAATACAATAATAATAAACATTTGGTAATAAAATTAAACGAAAGGAAAAACATTTTTACTCTTTACTCTTCTAAAAATTGCACAAACGAATGTAATTTAGCAGTCGGCAGAAAATTGTGGACGAATTGTCGTCTTTTTTATCTAATATAGCCTTAACTGCTTTATCTCCTAAACTTTAAGGCAAATATTAAGAAATGAATTAGTAATAAATAACAAAATCAGGAGCAAAATTCCATGATTAAAACTGAAGAAAAAAGGCGAGAAATATTCTACTGTTGTCTGGTTCCCACTGTAATTAACTGATTCTAGGATGGATGATGAGGTGGCCAGCCTGAGGGAGATGTACCTCAGCTACAACAACGAGATCAAGGGCCTCGAGGGCAGGGAGATCGCCAGGCTCAGCACATCTATGCAGTAAGTGAATTACACGATGTAGGGTTTGGTTAGGCCTTCTGAGCGCTGCGGCTAAAACAGGGTAGGGGCGGAGTGCGGCGATTTTACTGTGGAAAAGTTTTTTCTCCATTAATATCAAAATGATAGACTGCAGAGAGCAGACCAATAGGACGGACTGACATAGATCTAGACAACACTTTTTTAATGCTGGATCGTCCTTGATTTTAAAGTGTCGCAAAGCCTTGGCCTTCGTAACTACAAAGAATTAAATGTCATAGTTTTCATCAATTTTTGCGCCAGAGCTCAAAATCTTTTGACACAACGGCATAGCATAAGATGACTTATTGTACAATCCAAACTAAACCAAAGTCTTCTATAGAGCCGGAATCTTTTGGATGAAATACATCTGGATATCGAGTCACGGAAGTTCGTAATAAGATTTTGACCCCACTGGAGACCACCGGAGGGATTTCATTTTTACTGGAGGGGTTTGAAAAATGCTTTTTACAATTTAAAACTTTACGCAGGGTGATTTACATTCCACTGCAGGAGGGATTCATTATCTTTCCAGGGGTTTATAATTCCACTGAAGGGATTCAGATATCCTTCCAGGGTGTTTATAAATCCCCTGGAGGGATTCAGATATCCTTCCTATGGGTTTATAATTCCTCTGGAGGGATTCAGTATCTCGTCATGTTTGTGGTCTTGAGTTTTCCTCAAAGTTTACTTTTCATTTTCATTTAAGCTCATATTTTTTTCTTCTAGAGTATATTTTAATTTTCCTCCTCAAATAATATTTAATTTTTTCTCATTTTTTACTTTTCAGCAAAGTTAACACTTCATTATTCCTTCATCATTGTGTTTGTTTTATTTTCTCCTCATTTCCTTGGCGTTTACCCAGCAATTTAGCAATTTTTTATAGTTTTCCTCGTAAAGTATTCTTTATTTTTCTTTATCTATTATTATTCATTCTTCATTCTTCTTCTAATTTAATATTTTACTCAACTTGTTTCTCCAAGTTGGAATACAAATTTACAAAGCGAATTCTTGTTTTAAACTTTTCAAGTTTTCTACATCTCAAACTAGTTTTAACAGCTTACGTACATGCCCCCTACTTCGTTATTAACCATACTACCTACTTTATAGGCTTCTCCCTCTTTCTGTGATATTTTTCTCTTTTGTCTTCGGCGCCCTTTTCTTTAATCTTCAGCTTTCTTTCTTCTTTGCGTTGGAATCCATTATTGTGTGGAATAGGAAGACCACATATAAACAATCTTGTGTGTATTTAATGTTGTAAAGGAAATAGTTTAACCCATAGATTAAAAACCAACTCATTAAGTGAAATGATTTCATATTTATTGAACTATTAAAAACTTGAACCATGAGTCTAACATGCAGTCTACTTTCTTTTTTAGTTTTATGAATCCATCTGTTTCTCACCTTTCTTGTAATATTGCTTCTTTATCTATTTTCCTAAACTTTTCCTTTTTATTTTTAATTAACTACGTATATCAAAATATTTTTAGTTCACTTTTTACTTTTTTATACATTGAGAACCAATAAAATATAAGATACGAAGACGACATGAAATTAAATATGAAGTGTATTTAATGTTACAACGCAAATAGTTTTACTAGTAATTCTTATTGAATCACTTATTAAATGGAATTGGTCTGTTTACACTGAACAATTGCTGTGTATCATGTTCATTGGACTATTTAAAGTCAAAACTTGAGTCTAAAAGTCTTCTTCCAGAGTTTTATTGTTATCACTGTAAGTAGAGGATTAAATTTTAGAATTGTAATAAGAGGTGAAACTAGACAGGTTTAGACAGATTCTTAGCTAGAGTTATTCCTTGAGTGCTTTTTCTTTTTCATCTTGCAAAAACAAGGATTTTACTAAATTGAAATTAAATTGAAATAGGATTGTACATGATTGTATCTCATACAGTGAGATCCAGAAAACTGTGGAATAAGAAGACGACTTTAAGACTCAAGTTCTGTTTTAAGATTTAGTTAATAAGTTAATTTTATTTGAAGCTACTGAATGTGTAATTTCTTATAAAAAAAATTTGCTAGAATTTCCGTCACCTATGCAAATTGCGCAAGAATTATTGGAAAATGTAAAATTTAAATTTAAAATCTATCCTGGAAAATTAATTTATGCATGTCTAAAAAGGAATTTAGCTCCAAATTTTAAAATATTTGATTTTAAATATCTGTATTTCAATTCAAATTTGATCTAGAATTTAACAGTGTTCATATCTGAATTAGGGTTTTTATTTCTTATTTCGAGATTAATTTAATTGAATTGAATTACGGTACATGACAGTACGTCCCGGGTACATGACGGTACGTCGTGGGTATATGAGGGTACACTACGGAACATGACAGTTCGCAACGGTACCCCGGAACTTACAAGATTTGGATCGATGCTCATTGTTCAGCAAAACAATTCCTAAGTTTAATTATAAGTTTGGTATAACAATGGTAATCCTATCTTGAAAGTGACCTTTATACAATATATTTTAAACAGATTTTGAAAGATTTAGAAAACTTCAAAGAATATTAATTTGAATCAAAATGAATTGTATGAAAGACACAATTTCTAGAACTTAGAGTGCATTAATACTTTCAACTATTCTTCGGAAGATTTTACTAAATGAAACACATTTATCTACAGAATTTATTTAACAATTTAAGAAAAATAGTTACTGCCACCAATGTTTCCATGTTTCTCTAAACCCCGCTGTTCAGAAAACTATGTCAAATTGGTGATTAATTTATAAAAATGTTTAGTGATGTTGGATCCAACTACGGGGATGTATCTGGAGTTATTGGAGAACTAGAGATCGTTAAAAAGTATTTTAATTAGTATCATTATTATCCATGTTAACTTTATTTTAATATTATTTTACTTCAATTGCAATAACTTTTTTACCATTATTACTTTTAATATTTTTTACTATTATCATTAATACTGTTATCATCATAATTTTAGCACTAGTATTGATATCATTATCATCATTGTCAGTATTATCATAGTAATCCTAATATTCTTTTTAGATCTATCTATCTATCTATCTATCTAACTTAATTAAATAGTATTTTTAAATGTTTTTAATACTTATTGCCTACATCTATCAATTTATCTCTCTATATATCTTTTTATCTATCTATTTATCTATCTATTTATCTATTTATTTATCTATCTATGTATCTATATATTTCTCTATCTATCTCTCTATCTTTCTTTCTATCTTTCTATCTATATATTTATTTATCTTTCTATCTATTTATCTATCTATTTTTCTATCTATCTATCTTTGTATCTATCTATCTTTGTATCTATCTATTTATATATCTATCTATTTATCTATTTACCTATACTTCTATTTATCTATCTAGCTATCTAATCTATCTATCTATCTATCTCTCTATTAATCTCTTAATGTTGTTTAGACGAATGCTTGAGCTGGAGATGGATAAACTGACAATACGACAGAAGATATTTGAGATTAGGTTTGCTCTGGATCAGGAGGAAGCTCTCTTCCATGCTCAGGTCAGTACAGGGTGTACCAGAGGTCAGTACAGGGTGTACCAGAGGTCAGTACAGGGTATACCAGAGGTCAGTACAGGGTGTACCAGAGGTCAGTACAGGGTATACCAGAGGTCAGTACAGGGTGTACCAGAGGTCAGTACAGGTTGTACCAGAGGTCAGTACAGGGTGTACCAGAGGTCAGTAAAGGGTGTACCAGAGGTCAGTAAAGGGTGTACCAGAGGTCAGTACAGGGTGTACCAGAGGTCAGTACAGGGTGTACCAGGAATACAGGGCGAATAGTTGGAATAATTGGTTAAACTACTTCTCTCTATTTCAAAATCTCACCTGGCATAATTATATTTTATTTATTTTTTGTTTCTAGTTTTCTGCCAAGGACGGAGCTCTAGCTTATCTGAAAACTGAATATGAAGCTATGAGGAAAAAGTAAGTTTTTTTTATCCCGAAATCTACCAAACAATTGCTCATTATGTCGGTAAATAAATTGTTTTGTTAGCTTAAATTCAAATAATTTGTTGTTTAGCTCTTGCATATCAATTAAAATGATGTTTTGATTTAATTAGTCTCACTCTCAAGGATAAAAAAAAAAACAATGTTTACAAATAACTTAGTTGATTCATATTTTATAAAATGTTTTGTATTATTTACGATCAAGAATTGGTCCCGTATTTTTTAATTTTATTTTTTAATTGCACTGCTGACGTTTACATTTAAAGAGTGACATGTCCGATTCAACACACTACTTTAAAACCTTTGTATGATCATCTATTTTTATATGTTACACCACACTTTAAATTTAAAAGTCTCTGTTTATGTTGTTTTAAGTACAATCCTTTTCAAACTTTTTCGATCAAGGATAAAATTATCAGAATTAATAACTGTTCAATCTATATAGAGAAACGGTGATATTTTCACACTATTGATCTGACAAAGGTTTAAATGGTATTTTTGTAAATCGGACATTCCCGTCTCTTTACATTTATTTCAAGGAAGGACAACATTTCTCAAAAATGCAGAAAAGGTGTTCTTCAAAAAATATTTAAATGGAAATAATATTGGGGGGGGGGGGGAGCGCATTTATATTAATTTAAACAGCATCTTTAGAGGAATTCATGGGATGTTTTAAAGAGTTTCGATTTGGCTTTCTGCCTTAGTTTGCCATTGCTCTTTAGTACAAACTGACTGAAATATCTTTAATACAAACTAACTGAAATATCTTTAATACAAACTAACTGAAATATATTTAATACAAACTGACTGAAATATCTTTAATACAAACGGACTGAAATATCTATGAAAAAAGGTTTTCAAATAATTATTATTTCCGTCCAGATTCTTCAACAAGCTCGCCAGGGCGGAGCAGACAGAGGTCTTCAGATATTCCAAAATTGTTGGAGACGAGGAGGAGATTATGAAGAGGTAAATAGACAAGAATAGACAAGAATAGACAAGACAATAAAAGAGAAGAATAGACGATAATAGACAAGAATACAATACACTGAAAGACAAGAAAAGAATATACAAAACTAAGCAAGAGACAAGATAACATAAAAATAGACAAGACAACACAGCACAATAACTGACAAGAATAAGAAGAAGACACTGAAAGACAAGAAAATAACATGCAATTAAATGCAAGAAAACAATATACAAGCAAGACAAGATAACACACAAAAAGACAAGACAAGAAAACACAAGATTAGACAGTACAAGAGAAGATAAGACAAGAATGTATAAGACAAGACTTAAAAGATCCGGTGGTTTCGTATTTGATTCATTGATTGATTGATTAATTGATTGATTGATTGGTTGATTGATTGATTGATTGATTGAAATGATTATCTGTAAAGGAAGGCGGACAGGTTTGAGAGTGGAGATAGGAAGGTGGTGGTTGGACTCTCCTTGACTCCGATGCACTCCTCCCATGGAGAATTTACAGGATGGAATATTGACGAACATATTGAACCTGTTCATTAAACGCTTTACAATACACGTTTATACTGAACACCTTAACCCAGTTCATTAAGTGTTGTACAATAGACGTGTGCTGTGTACTGAACACCTTAAAACAATGAACATTTAACACCTTATATCAGTTCTCTGAAATCTGTATATTAAATGTGCACAATGTACAATTAATATCTTGAACCTTTTTAAAATATCTGTACAATACACATGTTCAGAGCCCAAAACTTAAGACAGGGTATCGTTATGAAAACCAGTTTTGAAACCCGGGTTTCAAGAATGGGGTTAGGCAGTTTTGTGGATATCAATATTTTTGTTGTGAAATATTATTTTATTAAGTTTCTCCATATTCTTCATTTTTTAAAATTTCTTAAATCAAAATCTACACAATTGCCAAGACCCCAAAAAGGAAACTCGGGAGTTTCGTTCAACGATACTCTTTTAAATTTCGGGCTCTGGGAAAATTTGGACTATTGCTTGTTCAGTACACGTGTACACAATATTTGTACATGTTGCCGATACCACTTTTTCTTATTCCATGCGGAAATGCAACAAGGGATGTCAGTGTACTAGACAAAACTAGCTCACTTGTACATACAACTAAGTTGTATAACTGTACATAAAGTTTTTTTGTATAACTGTACATAAAGCTTTGTTGTATAACTGTACATAAAGCTTTGTTGTATAACTGTACAAATGTTTAGTTATAAAACTGTTCATAATGTGTAGTTAAAAACTCATGATGTTTAGTTTTGAAACTGTACATAATGTTTAATTATAAAACTGTTCATATGTTTAATTACAAAACTGTTCATATGTTTAGTTATAAAACTGTTAAAAATGTTTAGTTATAAAACTGTTAACAATGTTTAGTTATAAAACTGTTAACAATGTTTAGTTATAAAGCTATACATAAAGTTCAGCTGTTTTAGTAGAAAAATGGTGAAAACCCGTTCATTGTTTTTAATTTACTTTGGGATAATAAAAATTTCATTTTTTTCTCTTTTTTTACACGGAGCTAAGTAGAGTAGAATAAATATATAGTATTTTAACAGAAAAGTTTAAAAGGTTAATATTTTTCTTTGATTTAGGGTTCGACAAAATGTGTTTTTAATTATTCCTGTTAACAGATTTTAATTAAACTAGGCGAGAACATTTCTAAAGTAAAGATAATCAATGGAATTATTATTTATATATTAGAATATGAAAAGGTTGGAATTAATCATTCATAAATTTCCATATTTGGCATTGTTTATTTGGTTAACGGTTTCGTGTTCAAAACTAATAATTGATTAACACTGATTATACACGGTGTATCTGAAAAAAAAGTGTTTTTTTAAAAGCTTTTTAGCAGCTACTAAACATCGTTCAAATGTGCTGATAAGTGCTTCTAGTAGGTACAATACCCACCAATGATGGGGGGGGGAGGGTTGTGGATGAAAATTTTTTCTCTAAAATTCCGTTTTAACCTTCAAAATTAGGCATAATATTCGAAAATGTGCTTGGTCCAATTTCCAAAGATATTAATTGCGTTTTCACACACAAAACGTCGTTTCACTACAATGTATTGCCCATAAATTGGGAGGTTGTCGTTGAAATATTTTACTCAAAAATTCCGTTTTAGCCGTCAAAATGTACTCGAAATGTAGTGAAAATGTACTCGAAATGTAGTGAAAATGTACTCGAAATGTAGTCAAAATGTACTCGAAATGTAGTCAAAATGTACTCGAAATGTAGTCAAAATGTACTCGAAATGAAAATGTACTCGAAATGTAGTCAAAATGTACTCGAAATGTAGTCAAAATGTACTCGAAATGTAGTCAAAATGTACTCGAAATGAAGTCGGTCCATTTTCAAACAAATTTGAAATCTTTTTTTTGTCTTTTACTTTTAAAATCCTCAATTCTATCATTGAAATTGTGCAATTTATTCTATTCTATTATAATTTGAATTTTTTTTAAATCTTTGAAAAGAAGACTGAGCACATTTTCGAATATTATTTATTAAAATAATGTTGGGTTTAGTAAACCCATGGAGTTTAAGCATTAATCTTCATATCCACCATTCTTAAGTTTTCAGCTCTAATAGCCTAGTATTTTATATTTAATCACCAATAGTGGATAGTTTTAACATTTTAAAATTTATTAAAAATTGTAGATATTCCGTTTGGGATATTTGTTAAATAAGCGAATTTTAATATCTTTTTCAATTTTTGGTTCAATACACCTTTAATGGAAATAGGAAAATATTTAAAAAATTTAAATGAGAAATTCTGTGTAAAAATATACATAAATGCATAAGGATACTATTTAAAATGAGGAGTGATACAGTTGGTCCACAAAACTGATATTTTAGAGAATGCTATGTTCAAATATATTGCAACATTTGTACGTGCATCTATTTATACAAATATGATTATTTTTTGTTTAATACCATACCCTAGTCCTAACATTTTCAAGTGTGGTCTGACGTTTTTGTGTTTTAAATAATACCGGAGATACATGTAGCCTATGTACCGGAGATACAGCCCTTGTCCCATGAAACATGACAGTTGGTGAATAGTTTAAAATGTCTTCTTCCATAATTTGTTAAATTATTTGACACCAAAAAGAAAAATGTTTAAAATATTATATGGCAGTCATTATTATACAGTTATAATCAGAAAGACCCGGAATTTATTGACAGTTTAATACTTTACATATAATCTTAAATGCTCAAATAGGCAGACAACAATTTTGGAATTGGCAGGATTAGAGCTATTATGTGATTTTTGTTTCATCAATCATATTTGTAAAATTAGTTTGTAATGTCGTCTGATTTATTGTAAACTAATTCCGGGTCTGTAGGACTCAATTAAAATTTATTTTAAAGTAAAATATAATTCAAAACTGTTCACCATCTGTCATGTTTCCTGGGACACCCTGTATACAGATTTCAGTTTACAACTAGAATTGTCTAAACAAGGTGAACTCTAAACTATAAACAGAAAATAAGTGGTGTAACCATTTTTAATACAAATTGTGTCAAAAGATACATCTCAAAAATAAAAGACGATCTTAAAATCGTCTGTTAATTATCATGTTTAGTAGGACGCATTTGATACTAAACATATCTCTGTAAACTAGAAAAAAGAAACGGTCAAATTACGCGATACTACTGGTGCAACTTTGTGACCTCGTAGCTCCTCTAGTTTTTATTTTACGCACAAGTATGCGAAAAGCAAATTTATCTGAGCTGAAAACTTTAGAATAGTGGATATCAGGATTAATGCTTAATCCGTTCTTTTTCTTAATATCCAGATTAAATATGGCTTGTTCTCCACATGAATTTAATCTCCAGAAAAGTCAACAGATCGGGATTAAGGATATCACATTCTAAAGTTTTCAGCTTTGGTTGCATAACAAAAATTCAAAACATTTTTGGTCTTTTTTAACAAATCTTCAATAATTTACTTTAGTTTGACGTGATATAGTAACATGAGGAAAGCAATTATAAAATGTGAATATATTTCAACATTAATAATTCATATAAAAACATCTTTAGGGGATAAAACGTTTTCATAATAATAGTGCTGGATATATTTGAATAAATGCATAAGAATAATTCATTTCTTAGTAAGAGTAATATTCTTTGAAACAGACTTACCCATAAATTATGAGACTCTAATAATGACCTGGAACTCCTTTAATTCCACGATTTATCATTTTACATTGAATTGAAGCTTTTCTTCGCTCATATGTATATACATGGTAGCCATAGATAGCTGGCCAAACAGTTGGACCAAACTGGCTGTATACATGTTAGCTATAGATTGCTGGCCAAACAGTTGGACCAAACTGGCTGTATACATGTTAGCTATAGATAGCTGGCCAAACAGTTGGACCAAACTGGCTGTATACATGTTAGCTATAGATAACTGGCCAAACAGTTGGACCAAACTGGCTGTATACATGTTAGCTATAGATAGCTGGCCAAACAGTTGAACTAAACTGGCTGTACACATGTTAGCTATAGATAGCTAGCTGGCCAAACAAATGAACCAAACTGGCTGGGGCTAGCATAGACTTTAAAAAAATAGAATTTAGTTGAGTTTGAATCCATTATTTGATGTCGCAAAGTAGTGCAACCCCCCGCATAACCCAATGCCTGGGTCCAATATCTGACTCGAAATCTATTGACCCGATATAGTTAAGTTCAGTTCGTCCAGGTTTCCTATATATAGGACACTCATACAGCTTACTGTCCTTTCCTAAAATATTGAAAATTTTAAATTATAAATAAAATTCAGATTTATACAGAGAAGTTATCTATAAATTAAACTAAGAAATTCTTTAAAGGGAGTGTTCGCGAAAAATGAAAGGACGCCATGTTATTCGGTATGAGACGTCTTTAACAATTTTCTCCTTATAGACGCAACTGATAGAAGTAAGATTAGTAGCGATCAAAAGCGCTTTTTATCGCATCAAGCCTATACCCCCTTTCATTTTTCGCGAACACTCCCTTTAAGGCAAAGTGTGTAATTTCTCCCTTAAGTCGCGTGCATGTGAAAGTTGGGGGACGACCCCTCCATGGGAAATTGTATGAGACTTCCTCTCCTTTTAAAAATAAGGCCCAACTAATACTTTAATACGATTGAATTCGCCATATCTTGGTACCTGCAGTAGTATTTATAGCGTAGATATAAATAACTGGCATCTGCTCGTAGAGAACCTTAGGTCTAGATTCAACGAGTTTTCCTGTTTTTCTATCCAGGCTTGCACCCTCCAGGAACAAACCATGCACGTATACACCTTCAGGGGGGGAATCGTGGATATCCTCTTTCGCAAACCTATAAAAATCAGTCAATCATTTTAAAATTATTTTTTGTTAAATCAATTTTAATTTACTCCTTTCGAGATTTCCGCTTAATATTAAACTAAAAAGATTTTAATAAAATTCCCATATAATGATACTAGGCTTTAAGCCCGTTTAGGACACACACCCCTTTTTTAATTTTTCAAAAATGATAAATGTCAAAATTTTTTCTACACAAACTTTTTCAAATTTTAACCTTCCCTGTGAGTTGCCACAAAAAATTGGCCCAATCGTTTTAGCCGTTTTGGCGTTTATTTGTACAAACAGTCAGACAAGGCAATATAACCCGATATGATGGTATAATAAACATGATCTCATAACCTAAGTTTTTTAAGGTGTTTTAAAAAGATAAAAAGAGGTTTTATATCTCAAATCAAGTATAAATATACATAGATACAACTTTCGCCTTAAAAATCAATAATTAAATAAATCTTAACTAAAATTGACTTTAACTTTTTAAAATAAAATGGATTTATGCATGGTATATAATGTGTGCCAAATAATTTTGCAATGAAAGCATCAGGTTTAAAGCTACAATAAAAAAGTCTCATCCTATATTTAATATTCTCCTACCTTGTCACGAGATTCTGACAAATAACTGAGTCTAGGGCCCAACCCTTGTGGGCCCTGGTCACCTCCTGTCTCATAGCTGTTAGGAACCCTTGCGGGTTAAAAAACCCGGTCACCCAGAACACCTGGAACCAATCTCTAATTTATTCTTTTGCTTTAAGACTTTCCATTATTCACAACAAAGCTTTGTACGTGATATCCAAAATTTCTCTTCGAAAAATTGGTTTAATTTTGATAGTGGTTTTTCTGTATATTTGAATGGAGGATTTATTGCTACAATAAGATCAGATTAAAAGGATTAAAAGGAATTACATTGTAATGTGGGGTTACTTGAAATTATAACACTCCCTTTTAATCATATGCGGAGAATGCGGAATAGTTTCAGCTATTTGCTGCCTTAGTTTTACTCAATAAAATGTGCAAACTTTAAGAACTAAGCTAAAAGTTCAAAAAGATCCCAATATAAAAGTTAATTTATAAAAACTTTTCATTTTTAATGAAATACTCGCAGAACATAAGATAAACATAAAACCAATAGCAATCGTATCATTATCTAATCATGGTTTCTCATATATCCTTTTATTTAAGTGTGGTGTAATGTTTTTATACTATTTTCTTTGAGAATCATAACACAGTTTCGTTTTTTCTAGTTTGAGACCCCTTCATGTTGGTTCTCCCTCTGATATAGAAAACTTTAGCAAAACTTGAATTGGAAACATTTATAATAAAGAGTAAATCCTATTAGTTTCTACAAATCAAAAATAAATCTTTTATTTCCAATCCCTTTCGGAGAAGGAAATATAACAAAGTATAAATGAAAATAGATAACTTCAATTTTACAAAATTCTTCCAATTTCAATTTAGAAACCAAAGATATATGTGTGGGCCAGGGGCACATAATGGATTTAATCCGGAAAAGGAGGCAAAAATTGCACAAAACACAAATTTTGTTTTTGCCCCTTTAGAACCCGTTGGCAGAAAATGAAATTGATCCCGTTGCCAAGTTGCCCCCCCCCCCTCCCACTCCATTGTACGCCCCCGTCGACAGCGGTCTCCATAAATAAAGAAGAATAGAAAAAATATCTAAACTTAAAAGTAAAACTAGAAACTTGAATATAACTTTCATACAAACTATATGAAAAATGTAAATCAGTAATTCCGAACAAAAATCGGAAATAAAATGAAATAAAATATTGCTAAGAAAAAAGTAATAAAAATTAAGATCAAGTTTTCCATTCCTTCCTAAGCTATGAAAAAGATCTTTTATAAAAGAAAAAGCTAAAATCCTAGAATTAGATATTTTCCTTTGGTCTGCCGTGGAAGCACCATCGTTTAAACTGTCCGTCTCTCTCCAGTAGCTCAGTATACCAGAATCCTAGAGTTGAAGAACGCCACGAAATCTTTTTCCATTTCTCCGGAACCCTGAGGAGTTAAGTTTACATATAATTGAACTGGTTACTCGCATAGATAAATAAATAAACATAGATGGCTTATGTACCAGGGGGCGGAAGCGTCATGTGTGTGTGTCTGTACCAAAAGAGTGTGTGTCAGTTTAAAGTACCGAAGGTGTGTACTGTAGGTTTATACAGTACGTAAGAATCTCGGTATTTGTACAGTCTAGGAGTGTACATTTGTTTATTGTTAATTGTTTACTTAGAAATAAGTTTAATATACATGTAATATATTATTTAAATATTTAAGTCAACACTGTAAAGCCAAATTTTCATGCAAAGAATATAATTTGATCAAAGTTTACAATAAACTACTCGTTATTCAAGTTTACTTATAATCGACGACATTGTTCTACAATTTCCTTGACTGTAGTCATGTTGTGTGTCTGTACCAGAAGAGTGTTTGTGTGTTTACTGTACTGGTCTGCAAAGCAGTGCGACTGGCTTTCTCTTGCCGGACCAGCGCCATTTCCTTTCCCTATATTCCTGTTCCCTGTTATGTACGCAAAATCACCAAGAATTGTACAGTCCGCGAACTCATACTTCTAGGGTTCAAAGCATGTATTTCAATGATAAGCGGGGTGGTTTGGTGTTTTAATGGATTTCATAATCGAGTGTAAAATAATTTCGGGAATGGAAATATTTGAACAGCAATATTTCACTGAGCAATATATCATATTGACAAGAACTGAAGAAGGACATGAGAAGGACTAAACTAACATAAATTTCTCTCTACAGAACTCATGTACACCACAAGTACTCAATGACATAAGAACAGCCAATATTCACAACCGACTAGTTAATCTATATAATAAGAATATCTTTATAACATCTCTGTACATTTATATCTTTCAAGATGAAAAATGTCGTCTTATGCGCAATCTATTTTTATCTATGGTTACTCGCCTCAAACTGGAATTTGATATTCCTGATTTTTTAACGTCCACCTGGGGCTTGATTTAATTAATAGCAATTCAAGTACAGTTTAGCCCAGAACTTTGCAGAGTTCGACAGAATTAATAAAATGTCGTTTTCTTAACCTACTGATAATGGAATTCTGTAAATATCTTGTTTTTTGGTTAATTTATTTTTTTCGATATTCATTAAATCTGGTCTCGAATGTCGTAGCCTTTAATATTATAACTATGAATCCTGCGAGATCAAATAGTAAAAGTTTGAATAAGATATATGGACGGGTTAGAAAATTAGAGATTGAACCAAATATTCCGTTCATTTATAAATCTAAATATTAATATGTTGAAAACAATGGTTGAAAGCTAGAAAGGATAGCAAACAACAATAAAAAAAATAATAGGCTGGAGAATAAATATTTTATTACGTTATAACGTTTATGTTTGGGTAAAATACTCTTTTTCCGGCGATTTGCTTTTTTCATGATATAAAGAAGAAAATACATTCCTACATCACGAAAAACTCCAATTAAGTTGATACTTTTCTGCAAAAACAGTAAAAACAAGTTCAATTTGCTAGGTAAAGATTTACGTTGATTGTTGAAGTTGAAGAATGATGCATCTTGAAGAAAACTTTAGCAATAACCCTGCATGCTTTATTGTTAAAGGGACTGTCCGGATAATTTCAAGTGACCTTTTATTTTAAGAGGGACATGATTCACAACGAAACCCTTTAAACCTTTAAAAGATTATCGAGGACAGAGATCTATGTATGTATCTCTTACATGATGTGGAAAATTTGAGTAAACACAAGCGTATTGTATTATGTACTAATATGTTGCAGCACGGTTTTTAAAAATTTGAATATGAATATTTAAGTTCTGCCACTTCTAGAAGTAAAATATTAATATTCCTTAAATATAAAACAGCTTACAAACAAAGTTTACAATCCGGAAAGTCTGTTAACCTTGATGAGTCCAAAGTTTAAAGAGTACCGTTGTGAATCCTTGATCAGTCCAAAGTTTAAAGGGTACCGTTGTGAATCCTTGATCAGTCATAGGTTTAAAGGGTACCGTTGTGAATCCTTTATCAGTCCAAGGTTTAAAGGGTACAGTTGTGAATCCTTGATCAGTCCAAGGTTTAAAGGGTACCGTTGTGAATCCTGATCAGTCAAAGGTTTCAAGGGTACCGTTGTGAATCCTTTATCAGTCCAAGGTTTAAAGGGTACCGTTGTGAATCCTTTATCAGTCCAAGGTTTCAAGGGTACCGTTGTGAATCCTTTATCAGTCCAATGTTTAAAGGGTACCGTTGTGAATCCTTTATCAGTCAAAGGTTTAAAGGGTACCGTTGTGAATCCTTGATCAGTCCAAAGTTTAAAGGGTACCGTTGTGAATCCTTGATCAGTCAAAGGTTTATAGGGTACCGTTGTAAATCCTTTATCAGTCAAAGGTTTAAAGGGTACCGTTGTGAATCCTTGATCAGTCAAAGGTTTAAAGGGTACCGTTGTGAATCCTTTATCAGTCAAAGGTTTAAAGGGTACAGTTGTGAATCCTTTATCAGTCAAAGGTTTAAAGGGTACCGTTGTGAATCCTTGATCGGTCACAGGTTTAAAGGGTACCGTTGTGAATCCTTTATCAGTCCAAGGTTTAAAGGGTACCGTTGTGAATCCTTGATCTGTCACAGGTTTAAAGGGTACCGTTGTGAATCCTTGATCAGTCATAGGTTTAAAGGGTACCGTTGTGAATCCTTGAGCAGTCCAAGGTTTAAAGGGTACCGTTGTGAATCCTTGATCAGTCAAGGTTTAAAGGGTACCGTTGTGAATCCTTGATCTGTCACAGGTTTAAAGGGACCAGTTAGTTGTAAATATGTTATCTGTAGACATGAGTCCTTGTCCCAGCAAGCTTTCAATTTGACCCGGAGTTAACAAAAAAAATACACTTTTTTCTTCAGGCGCATGAATTGGAAATTAAAACAAAACTTTATAGGTTTAAAGATTTTTGAATTTTAGACCAAAAACGCGATTGAATTCAAATTGAAATAAATTAATGCATCTAGCCATGGGTAGTCTAGTGTTATAGCATCTTACAATAGTAACTGATTAATCTCCGCGAACTCTAAGATTTTCTAGAACCTAAAGCTTTGCCAACATTTAATATTTCACAAGCTGGCACCTTAATCTAACAGAATTCTAAGGTCTACGGCTTTAGGTTAGAAAATTAGAGTTTGAGGCGAGTTGTCAATGTATTAGAAAAATGATCGATTTCTTTTAAAAAATAAATCTAAAAAGAACTTGGTTTGGTTTAAAATATTCATACCTCGCATCATACATATTGTCCAGGGTCTCCTTAAGATCATCACTCATAATAATAGTTCCCTCCAGCGCCATCTTTAAATCTGTCAAGGTTCGTCTCACCAGCGTCAATATCTTCTGCATCCTGTCTATCTCCTGCCTCAAGAATATATTCATCGGAAGCATCCCTCCCAACCTCACCAGAGCCTCCTTAACTTCATGAGGAACATAATCCCTCGGCATCTTCCTAAGCATATCCTCAGCTATCTTGCTGACAACTGCTTCTCTAGTTTCACCCTTAGCTGCTCCTCCTCCCTCCTTAGGCTGTACACTAAGGATATGATCCAGGATACCTTCAAACCAATATCGTTTGAGAAGAATTAATTCTCTAATTTAATATTATTTATCGTGAGAGTAACTGCAAACCTTCAAAGGATGAGACTCTCTTGCCGACCTCAAACTCTTTAAGAATGAAAATTCAAAAGTTCAATTTGGTTTTTTGCTCTTTTAATATATTCTTTAAAGGATAATCAATGATTCGAAAGAGAAAGAAACAATTGTACAGTATCAAGAGATAGTTAATGCCAGAAAAAGACTTATAAATTCCGTCTCAAAAGTCTCATCTTTGAAGATTTTGGACAATCCTGAAAGTAATCTTGATTGCTCTGATATAAACTCAAGCTTAGATCTCTTATTTGGGATCTGTAAAAATAAAAGACTTGATTTGCTTGAAATTTAGCAAATTTAGCCCTACAAAAAAGTAAATATCAAACCTCTTAAAATTACACGATTTAATGGATAAATTCTATTTTTTTGTTTCTATTTTAATTCTTAAATTTTTAATTCCATTTTTTTGTTTCTAAATATGAGCGTGCACAATAAATAATGCATAGAACCCATAAATTACAATAAATAAGATTTAAAATATATTTGGAATCGTCGGCTCTAATAAACGATAATTTCCTTTAGCCGTGTTTATCTGATATGAGATATCAGCATTAGAATGAAGACCAAACACTTCTGGTATATCCTGTAGAGGCATGTTGTTTATAAAATCATTATACTCCTCGATAGTTTTACACTCTGGGACGGAGTATCCTTCGTAGAACTTGAACCCAGCGTTAAATATATTATCGGAGAACCAGACCGTGGTGAAGGTGTTGAGAAGTCGTTTATCAAAATCATCCGTCACCCTTCCTCCGTACTGAACCTCTCCGAGCATAAAACAAACCGTCTGCCACGATATTCCCCGCTTTGCGTCCAGGTCGTCCAAATGGTTCATAATAAACTGAGTACTGGCGTTGAAATCAGCTCGGTTGAATTCGTATGGAATATTCCAACCTAGAGGACCAAACTTTCTTCTCTCCTGAACCACAGTGTGGAGGAACGCAACAGCGTACAGCATGTTAGGCCAGGCGGAGTGGTTGGAGTAATCCAGGGTATCCTGGGAGATATCACAGTAGGTTCTCTTCAAGCTAGCTCGGATACCCTGTGGTGGTTCGTTTGTGAACTTCAGGGACATCTGGAGTAGTCCGATGGGGAAGTTCTTGTTCACCTCCGTAGTCAACCAGAGCCTGAAGGTTGGATGCATCTCATCAGTATCCAGCATAGTTTGCATGATTTCCTCACAGAAATCAAGAGAAAGATGACAGTTCTGTAACATCAACCAGTGACCGTTAACAATGGCCTCTGTGATCATTTTTCTTGCACTCTCCTCCTGACCCTGACCCATCGCTAGAGAACGGAAATCTTGAGCCCGGAGCTTGGCCAGAGTCTCAATCTGCCCGGATGGATCTGATCCGGTTGAGAGAAGACAGATTAACGGAACCCTGTTATCTGATTCGTCCAGCATCTGTTCTAAGTCTAGGACGGAGTTCTCCAAGAAATCTGCTCCGAGGGAGTCGAAAATATACTTTCGAGCCTAGAAGCAAATATATATTTTTACAGAAAGAAATGAAATATAATATCCAGAAAAGAGCTCATCTCTGAAAACTACGTAGGAAAGAAACAGAGTTTTTGCTGGAATCTCAAATTTTCAAATCGCTATATCTTTGCATTTTGATGGTGCAAAATATTGATTTCAAAATTAAATTATCTGATCGTAGTTTGAAATATCTAAATTCTACAAGATTTGGTTGCAGAGATATAGGGATTATAAAAACTCAATTCCTTTTTTACTCTTAGAGAAAACTAAATAATTTAAGAATTACATGCAGTTATGCTTAGTAAAACACTTATGCCGAGAACATTAACTTACAAATGTATAAACACAGCAAATAACTTTGAAATTGTATTAATTTAGAGTTCAAAAATAAAGGAATATTTACAATGTATGTACATCCTAGTTCTATTAAGAGAAAAGTAGTATACTAAAGTTTTTGGTTAGGTATGTAACAAATTCAGTTTCAATTACACTGCATTCACTTCAAAATCTGTAATTATGTAATTTCTTTTAATTATTTAGAATTATTCTAGAGGGACTGATTAATTTCCATTTACTCACATTTTTTTATCCTTATATCTTTGCAATTCAATGTCCTAGTCCTTCAATATGTATAATTTCTGCTAGAAAATAGTAAAACTTTAAAATATCAAAGGTTTACACCATCAGGTTTGAAAGATATAAGGATTATAAAATCAGAGTTTGAGGCAAGAAATCAGATCCGTTGAAATGACCTGAGACAGTGTTCTATCCGGACACCAGGATCTAATCAGCAACAGTTTCCTGGAAAAAATATACTTGAATTATGCTATCTTAAAGGGACTGTAAGCCTAATTTCAAGTGACCCTCCATGCAAAGATGGCAATACCTTTATCTGATCAATAATGTAAAAGATATTGTCGTTTTTATATACACGTAACAAAATGTTTAATGTTTACTTCAATAGAAATGCACAAGTGACTTTTGTAGAGAAACCAAAAAAAAATTATCAATTTTCCAAATTATAGACATTGATATTTGTATAATTCAAAATTGATCAGACAAATAATAATAATAATAAATAACTGTAAGTAAAGTCCAATTTTGTTGGAAAGAGAAATAAGGGCTTCGGTTAACAACTAAAGTATCTTAACCAACGAGGTTATAGTGTACAGAGTGATGATGTACGCTAATCCTTTACTAATTTTATAGGCCATAAACTATATCGAGAGCGTACTGCATATTTGTTTATTATAAGTTCATTCTGGCCTATAACCTATAGTATATCAATATTAGTAAACAGTTGTAAGTGTACAGTACAGCTAACTGAGCACACAGGTAAAGAACTATCATCCGCCCTGACCTTAACTTATTTGTTTCTGTTCTGAAAAAAATTAAGCATGTTTTTTTGAAAGAAAGGTTGAATCAGTTTCTTTTCTTTGTCTAGAATTATTCTGAAAATATATTTTTCTAAGAAAAGATTTTGCGATGGAAAAATCATAAACAGCAATTCTTTTATTAATTCTATTCAATTTATATTTTATACGATACAGAGAAGCAGATCAATAACCTTTATCTGAAGATGTCCTTTTTAAAGTGACTGTAGGCGTAACTACGATTTGTATCGTTGTATGTGTTGTTTACCTAAATACATCAAGGTTTTGTTGTTTACCTAAATACATCAAGGTTTTGTTGTTTACCTAAATACATCAAGGTTTTGTTGTTTACCTAAATACATCAAGGTTGTGTTGTTTACCTAAATACATCAAGGTTGTGTTGTTTACCTAAATACATCAAGATTGTTTTGTTTACCTAAATACATCAAGGTTTTGTTGGTATCCACAGGGTATATCTTCCTCCTCAGGAGACTCAGTATCACACCAATACTTCCATTCTTTCTCCGTAGATACAACCTAGAGTACAGATACAACATAGAGTACAGATACAACCTAGAGTATAGATACAACCTAGAGTATAGGAGTAGATAGAGGTAAAGGTATTGAAGAATAGAGAGGAAAAGAAGAAGAAAGCAACGGTGGAGGAGAAGGAAAAGGAGTAGATAGAGGTAAAGATATTGAAGAATAGAGAGGGAAATAAGAAGAAAGGAACGTGAGATGGAGGAGAAGGAAAAGGAGTAGATAGAGGTAAAGATATTGAAGAATAGAGAGGAAAAGAAGAAGAAAGCAACTTGAGGTGGAGGAGAAGGAAAAGGAGTGGATAGAAGAATAGGTATTGAAGAATGGAGAGGAAAATAAGAAGAAAGGAACGTAGGGGGGGGGGGGTAAACAACCCAGCACAAAAAGTGTATAATGTTGTATGTTTTAATATGTTATGTTATAATAACAGGGAAAAGGGAATAGAATCAAGATTTAGCAAGAAAAGCAATTTCGATTTATACAATGAAAAGTATAGATACAACCTATAGCAACCTATAGTATAGATACAACCTATGGTATAGATACAACCTAGAGTACAGATACAACTTATAGTATAGATACAACCTAGAGTAGAGATACAACCTAGAGTACAGATACAACCTAGAGTAGAGATACAACCTAGAGTATAGATACAACATAGAGTATAGATACAACATAGAGTACAGATACAACCTAGAGTATAGATACAACATAGAGTAAAGATACAACCTAGAGTATAGATACAACCTATAGTATAGATATAACCTAGAGTATAGATACAACCTAGATTATAGATACAACCAAGATTATAGATACAACTTAGAGTATAGATACATCCTAGAGAATAGATACAACTTATAGTATAGATACATCCTAGAGGATATATACAACCTAGAGTATAGATACAACCAACAGTATAGATACAACCTAGAGTATATATACAACTTATAGTATGAATACAACATAGAGTATAAATACAACTTATAGTATAGATACAACCTATAGTATAGATACAACCTATAGTATAGATACAACCTAGAGTATAGATACATCCTATAGTACAGATACAACCTAGAGTATATATACAACCAAGAGTATAGATACAACCTAGAGTATATATACAACTTATAGTATGAATACAACATAGAGTATATATACAACTTATAGTATAGATACAACCAAGAGTGTAGATGCAACCTAGAGGATACATACAACCTAGAGTATAGATACAACCTAGAGTATACATACAACCTAGAGTATAGATACAACCAGAGTATAGATACAACCTAGAGTAAAGATACAACCAAGAGTACATATATAACTTACAGAATTGATTCCTCTTGAGGAGAAATATTTAAATTTTGTAAATACCTTATCTAAGAGTGCATTGAATGTTTCAAGTTTGCTGAGCTCCACAAGATTTAACCAGATCACGTCCAGCATCCAACGAAATGGTTTAGGCTGAAAAATATAACAAAAATTAGGTCCCATAATAATGACTAGCTAAAGTTCCCGGCATTGCCCAAGTTTCTATTTTTTATATTCATAGTTATTCCCGCTGTTTACCCAGGCTTGGTATTTAAATATTATTTAACCAGCTATAGCTAACTTATTTATATACTAGCTGAAGGGCCCGGCGTTGCCCGTGGGAAAAAATTCGAAATTTTTTTTTAATTAAAAAAAAAATTTTGAAAAAATACAGAAATTTTTAACTTAAAACACCCCTCCGGCCACCCCTGAGTGTCCACAAATAATTTCAGCCCAATCGGTCCAGCCGTTTGGCCGGCTTTACGCGAAGAGCCTTATAATATAGATTAATGTATACAAAAAATATACACATATAAACTGTAAACATACTACTGGTCCAAAAAAGTCTAGGAAAATGTTGTTAACTGTAAAAATAAACTCCAAAATTTTAAAGCTTGAAATGAACATAATTTTAGCTGATAAATTGATCTTTTTATTTCTGAAAAGAGAAATTTATAATTTCAAAAAAAGTTTTGTAAGAAGGATCGACCCACTTTGTAAAGTTAAGTCCCCCCTCCCCCTCCTCCAATAATGTTAAACAATGAATAATGAAAAGTTGAGAATTCTTGTTTGAAGTTTGTGTCTTATTAAAAGTTTTCTTCCCTCCAGGTTTACCAATAATTGCCCTCCAGGATACATGAAACAGTCTCAAACAATCCATCAACAAATTAGAACAAAAAGTCTATTTATTTTCAGAGAAACTTTATTTGTCTGTCAAAAAAGGGCCTCGTCAATCACCCCCCTCTCCTCCTCCCCCCTGTTTCCCTCCTAAACGATAGTTGTCAACAACATAATGCTGATAATGAAGACAGCTCTCAAAGCTTTTTTTCTGTCAAAAAAATTATATTTTTAATTTTAAGTTGAACAATAAAACAATTCACATTTTATAATAACCTTGCAATTAACTACAGTCGTCGTCGTATATATCAATACATTGAAGACGACTTTCTATTTCAATTTTGATTTCTAAAAAGCTTTCAAACAGCTTGAGACACATAAACACGTAAACAAAGTGAATATGTCAATTAATAGCTTCTCTTTGTTTACTTGCAATTTGAAAAACCTTTTCAGGAATCAAAGCATTATTGATTAAAAGTTGTCTTCATTGTATTGATATAAACGCCGGCTACTGTATACATATTTAACTTGGTCTCAAGTCGTTATTCTATGTTTTTTGGACCATGTATGCAAGCATGCCGCATCATCCTGTTTACCTTGACCGAGTTTAAATCCAAGGAAGCTCCACCCTTGAGAAAGATGAGAAACTCGCTGTGAGAGATATTTCCGTTGTTGAGGTCCACCTTCAGGGCCAGCAGGAGTGTGAACAAGAACTTGTGGTGCTCGTACAGGCCTCGGTTCGTATACTTCCACACCGACTTGGTCAAGAAGTCGAGTATATTTGTGATTCTCTTATCTATGATATGAGTCGGTTTGGATTTAATGACAGCATTGTCGAAGAGAACAAGAAATTGTCTCAACGCTGTTTGATACATGACGTTAACCTTACTTAACTCTACGATCAGGAAGTATAAGATGCTGCCTCTAGTAGCTACAGATCTGTATTCTTCACGAGCAGCATTTATCTTAATCTCGGTTTCAGCAGAGATCTGCAGCTTCTTGCTCACATCTCCAGCCGTGGTTTTAGTCTCTTGAAGAACCTGAATAAGTTCATCATCGTCAACAATTGATCCCTCGACAGAATTTAGTTTTTCCAGCAAGCTATCCTCCAGCTCCTTCATTGTAGCCTTATTCTCAAGTACATCTTCAACTAAACGAACTCTTTCTGTCTCAAGATCTGATTTCTCCATCCGAATAACTCTTCCCAGTAACTGATCTTCTAAACCTTTCATGGTTACAGTAAAATCAATGATTGCACATCTGGCACTGATCTCAGGGCTGTAGGATGGATTACCCATCTTGGTTGTGATAAAAAGGGAAAATCCATCATTAATATCCATTTCTCGGTCTCCGAGCATAACCTTAAGAGCTTTACCTTGTTTGATAAAGTTCTTCTCCAGGAGATTATCCAAAACTGGATCTAGCTCTTCAGCAATGTCCTCTATAAGCAAAGGTCTACCCAAGGATAAACAATCTTCAAGATGAGTTCTGAAATATTTATGGTTGAGATTAGTCACCTGTAGATCATTATACTGTTCCTTAGTTTTCAGCCAGATTTTACCCTGGCCCTGGGGATCAACGAGAAGAGGATAACTCTGGGCCTTCGTAACAATTGCGGCATTTTGCAGGGAGAGTTCATCACTTGGTAGCCCTTGCAGAGACCATTCCGATGTCTCATTTCCATCCACTATCATACTAACAACATTCAGGCTGTTTGTGTAGGGTATTGTTTTGTGCTTGAGAAGTGCCTTCCATGTATTCATTAGCTGATTTCTAAATTCTTGGTTAAATGGTCCGGAGTAGGAGAGGAATCCACAAGCTAGAAGAGTATCTCCAATAAGTTTGATTAGTTGTTCTTTAAATGCTTTGCTCTGATGCGTCCATCTCTGTTTTTCTCCTCCAAGTCCATTAATAAGAGTACTGGCAGCTGACATCTTCTTTCTGCAGATATCTGCTTCATTCGCTAATTTCTGTTTTTCTTTAACAGCATTCGTGTACATCAGCTGCACTTTTTTCAATTGTCGCTCTTTCTTTGTTAGAGTTCTTTGCGTTAGTTCTAACTCTTTCATTGCTGCTTTAAGTCGAGCTTCTTGGAATGCCAGGTTAATTTTCAGCGGTAAAACTTCTTTATTTACACCAAAGAAAAATGCCATTGCCTTTGTCCAGCATAGTAAACCAGCAACATCGCCACACACCCTCTTGGCTGTGGCCATGTTGTAATCCTCCATTGTCAGATATGGTTCAAGAAACTCTACCATCTCATCGTTAATTGTATCTTTGGGGAAGTTTAAAAGCTGGTTTAAAAATCCAGTGCTAGACATTACTTTCAGGGCCTCAGACCAGCTGGGTTTAGGGCTGGGAACTGTAGGATCAGGAGAGATCAAGGGGAGTTTAGATCTGAATAAAATCATTGTGCAGTCCATAACTCTCATGATCAGATGAGGAGGTCTTCCCAGTTTTCTAACTGTTGCAATGTTCGCAGGTTTAATTGTGTTTAAAGCCTCTTCAGCTTCCTCTAGAGCAGGCCTAGCAGCTTCAAGCTTTTCTTCAGCATGACTTTTCTCAATCTCGATTTCCTCAACTATATTTTCAGCTTTATCTTTACTTTTCTGCACTTGATCTTTCATAATCTCGGACTCTTTAGCCCTTTGAGTTACCTCAATTAGGACCTTTTCAGCTTTTTGATTCGCAACTTGGAGATCTTTTTCCATAATTGCTAATTCTTCCTTTAGAATCTCAACAGATTTAGATGCTTCATGCAATTTTTCCAATCCCGAATTCATCCTCAAACTCATTTCTCCGATTTCAGTTTCTTTCCTAGAGTACACCTCTTTATAGCTGTTGATAAATGACAGGAATGATTTAGGAGTAACATGAGTTGATCGTCTAAACCTTTGGAAATAGTTTTGACAAGCCACCGATACACTGTCTTGGACTGAAGCCATGGTTTTATACAAGTTCTTCTTTATTTCCGGAGTAGACGCTGCAATCTTGAAGGACTGAAGGAAGTGAGTTGCTACAGATACCAGAGCATCCTTTGGCCATGGTTGAAACCAGTTAATGGTACAACCTAAAATATAATTTAAGTAATGAAGACAGTGAAAAAAGTTGAATAATCTATAAAACTTTATTTTATATTTTTTTTTTAAAATCTCACATTTATCCTATAATTTCTACATAAAGTTTACAAGAAATTATTACTTTAAGTTGCGTTTTGCATGGATATAATAGAAAATCATTGGAAGGTATGAGTTTTCTATATTCAAAACAAAAGTTTTTTTTGGTTTTTTTCTGCGTAAACATAATAAATGTTTCAGAAAAAGTTTTTAGAGTTTATTTCTGCTAGACATTAATGCACAGTCCAATACTGCATTTGTCACGTAATATTTTTAAACGTCTTAATGAACAGGGTGTCCCAAACAACATGAAATTGAGTGACCACTCTGAGGTCGTCTTTTTTAATCATTGTAAGAACCGATTTCAATTAAGTTATGTCTTCGTTCAAATGTTATTTTTTGAAAATACTGCTTTGTTTTTCTCCTAAACTTGTATTTGCTTGTATACAAGAATTATTTCATTTTCTCCAGTCCAGTTTAAAACATAAACAAACTAATCCTTAACCCTAGTGGACAGAGAGAAGTCTTTAGGAGGGCTATGGTTCAGTGAGATCTGCGGTTGTTTTTTTACCCCAACGGGAACTGAGATCCCCCCCCCCACACCCCAACCCCCACAATAAGGAAAAAGGAAAAAATGTAAGACCCCCCCTGGAAAAATGTCTGAATACGCCCCTGCTGAATCATTCTCTTCTTTGAAGAACAATGTAAAGCCATCAAAAGATATTTTTTAATTTAGTTTTCTAATGTATCAATTATATAATGTAATAAGTTGGAAACCCAGTGCTGCTAAGGTTTCTTAAAGTTACTTCCACCGTTTACCCGCACTAAAACGATTTTATCGGAAAACTAAATTTTCGCTTTTAAAGTCGACCCTCTCAACTTAGAATCTCAAAACTAAGCTAAGAAAATGTCCGTGGGTCTCCTGAGTTACCCAATCAAAATTTGAGGCAAATCAGTCCATGGGTTCCTTAGTTATGCTCGGACAAACAAACAGACAGACACCAAAACAGAGATTATAAATATATACAGATTAAATAGATAATGTTTAAACTGTGTAATACGTGTGTATTATTTGAAAAGCTAAATTTGTACGAACAATTAATATTGAATTACCAACATTTTGAAATTTAAACCCAATAAAATACAGATTTAGAAAATACACAATATTTGAGGGGTTGTGAAATTGGATCCTCTTCCCATTATTTAATGATTAATTTCGTACAATTCTTCTTACATACAATCATTTCGTAGAATTGCAATGGATTTTTTAACAAACGTCTATCAAAACGAAATTTAACTTGATTTCCTTCGAACTTGTTTTATCTCAAAAGATATTTTCCGGGCTGCAAAGATATATGTAAAAACTCCTG